GTGGAAAAGGAAGTCATTTAAAACTACATTGTATGTTGACAAAGAAGCTAGTTGTCTTAAGCCAGTCTCCCGCAATCTGGTGCAATTCCAATAGGGAGAACTGATTTAGGTTTTCTTTCTTGTTTCACCAAATTATGTATAGTTTTTCCCAGTTCTTGAAAAAAAGATGCATTTGAACCAAAATAATTATTTCCAATGAAAGGAGTAATAAATACACTTGCTGAAATATTGTACCTCTGCTGTCCGGGCCACGAGAGCATTTCCATAATTAATGCTGTACCTTAGAGGCACTTCTCGTTCTGGCAGGTTAATAGCAATATCTAAGTTTAAGTCCTTATGGGTAGGCATCTGAATCTCATATTCAGCAAGAGCTTGAAACACCATAACTGTTGCCTAGAATGGGAGAAGGAAAAAATAAGATTGTTTGTCTTGGAGTATCTCACAAAAGAACTGAAAATCCAGTGATATATTTTACCATAGAAATAAATGTTTAACGCGTAGGGGAGAAGATGGTGATGTGGCTTGTTGCAAGAAATACCCAAACTATATTTCTAATTTTTACAATTGTCTGTTAGAACATTTGATCATAAATGAGAAGATGGGCTACAAATTGATGAGTAAACAAACAGAGGAGAGTTAACATATATACACATAAATACATCTTTAAACCACCTTTTATCTGTAGAACTAAGTGATCTAGGACAATAGGAAGTCTATGGATGAGATTTCTCTTGGTTCCCTTAATTTCAGCATGGATGAAGGACATAAACCCTAGATAATCTTCAGGCAAAAATTCCTTTCAAAACTATTCTTCGTCCTGCACATCAAAAGATCCATGCTCTTGTCTGCTAATCAAGTAGAGATAAACAATTGTCTATCCACCATGTAAGCACACACCCTGATCTTTTCTCAGCACAAAACATTTTCTCCTATGGATATTTTGTGCCAAAAAAAGCTTACAGATGACTGAAGTTTATTTTAGTCTATCAGAATTAGTAAAGACCTACAGCAGTTATTCAATGCTTTATTCTAACAGCTGAGTAGTATGCAAAGTACAGAAAAAAACCAATCCTTATTCTTTTTTATTTTTTGAGTGGTGGTGGTGGTGGCTTTTCTCTGTACAGTTTTCATTCACTGTTTCTTATCTTATCCTTAGGCACTATGGAGAATAAATCCACAACCTCTTCCCCGTGACAGCACTTCAAATATTAAAAGACTGCTATAGTGTCTCGACTTTGCCTCCCCCTTCTTTAGGCGAAAACATGCAACAATTCAGACTATTATTTTGTTTAAACCAGCCTACAGTAGAATACAATTCAGAAGATTATAATCTGACAATAAAACAAAGACTCACTTGGGTTTGCCCATATGTTCCCCCATAATATTTCTGATCTATCAGCCATTTGACTACAGGACCGGCCTCAGCAA